TGTTTTATATATTATATTCTGTAAATAAATAATGACCCAGAAATATGAAACATACCTTGAATCTCATTTATCGCCATGGCCCCGTCTATTTTTTTCTTCCTGTCATTTTGCTGTTTGTAATACAGGGATTCAAGACGAGCCATTTGGTTTTGTATTACGTCCTGTTTGATGAGATGATAACAGGAAATCGTTTACCTCCAGCTAAAAATATTCACGTATGTACAACTTCACGGAAAATTCCATGCGATTTCTTTCAAATGAACTGATATTTCATTCTGCGACGAAGCGAATGGGAGGTTTTGATTGGCTACGGAGAACGTACAACGGAATTTCCCCTCTACGATGTTTCTCTATAGCTAATCGAAACCTCTCGTTCGCTCTGTTGAAAAATTCAAATTCTCATAATTTCTCGATAAACAAGGCTTTGGAGAAATTACCGATAAGTTACCGGGAATTTCTCTTCGTTTCTGACGTAACTTACTGGATTTAGAACTCTAGCTCCGTCTATAATTTTACGTCCATGATCGAGTATCGCTCTGAAAAGGAGGGAGCGAGAGGGCAGCGCGACCCAGAGGCGTCGCCATCTGTGACATTTAGCTGCAACTAAATTTTTGCTCCAAACACACGCTTTAGCGCCGAGACAAGCCAGCATTCTCTTACAATCGTTGGTGAAAGTATTTTCCATATTTTCTCATCTGACTCTGTAATATTCTATTTCTACGGTATTCTAAATTGTTCGAGCTAGGTCCTGAAACTCTTCATTTTCGATTCTAAGCCTCCAAAAAGCGTAAAAAAACGAAAATGTGCACGGACCACGCCATGTTAGTTTTGGTCCATTACAAATAAATTTTTCATAAAAAATGAAATTTCATTAGTTCCAGGACCTACTTTAAGGCCTCCATATTGACGTAGTAAAATTTGAATCGAATCAGTACCCCCACTTCGGAGAATACTTTCCCCAACGGTTTGACTTCTCAGATATATATAGGCTGATTCTTTCATATCATCTTCTGTCGATCAAATCCTACCAGAGATAGGACGGATAGGATAATCAATAAAATAGGGTGAATTCAGAGATTATTATTAACGCATTCAGTGCCGAAACAAATGACAAGTACATTGTCGTAAGCCAACCTTGAGACGGATACGTCCCACGCGGCACGAAACGTGTTAAGAATACTATATACACCTTAAAACAGAGTTACAGTTAATACACTACAAAAGACCTTGACGTTTCAAATCTTCGTATGTCTTGCGATTTACAACATTTCCAAGGGAATCTTCAAACTCTTCCTCTTGTTCCGGTTGCCAACGTTCTGCTTGTTTCTGAGCCTTCAGTTTCTCCCATAAAGCAAGTGCATCTTCTATTTGCGTAACGTTTGCAAAATGTGCAGTATTTGGAATACCTAGACACCGCATACCGTGTGCGTGCCTCCACTCTGCAAAGTGTCTTTGGAAAGCCTTGGGTCCTTTGTACGTAAAGTTTCCACAAATCTCGCAGTTGTAGCTAATGTTGAGACCGTGTAATTTGTACAACCAATATGGAATGGGTTTACCATCCCACCCAAGCGGAAGATTCTTAGGATTATAAGGAACCTCGTTGTCGTCTTCTTCCTCCGATTCGCTAGCACTGGCCTCTGCATCCGAGTCACCACGTTCGCCTTCTGTTCTGGCTTGTTTTCGTTGTACATTCTCCCTTGTAGCGACACGCTGACCGGATACTAATTCCGCTAACCTATACACCTGTCCTTCCAACCTTGCTATATCTTTCTGTTTCTCGGCATCTCTACCTTTTCCTGGTTTTCTATGCTTACTCTTGGCCAACAGGTTTGGATCGAGAGAAGCTTCGCCTTTTGTACTGAATAATCGTTGGGCCCTTTCTTCTAAAGTGCCTCCACACTTCAATCCTAATGCCATCAATGCCGACTTCAATCTATCCAATCCAAGAGAAGCAAGTTCTTCCCAAGATGAAAAGGCAGATAATTCTAAATGAGCTCCGACGTGGGTCATGGCACTTCCGGTCTCTTTCGGCCATCCTGGGAAGGTATTATTTTCCCAGTGAGTTTCAAATTCCTTAATTGCTTCATCGGCCTCTGCATTAAGGTCGTGCAAAGGTCTGACTCTGCTTAGATAGTCCGTCAAGTATTCGAGTAAGCATTCCACGTATCGACGATACTCTGCATTTTTCCTCTCCCTAGGAATGTCGAACAAGTGGTCAAACGTCGACAAATAAGTAATATAGTCGACCTTCTCGATGCCTTTGAGATTAATGTATTTCTCATAGCATTCGTGCAAATCAAGGTATTTCCCATAACCTTCTTCGTCCGTAAATTCGACAAGATTCGCTAACTCTTCGGTTGGATTTTCTCTCATTTTGGCCAACTCCTCAAATTCCACCGACATCGGGACGCTGATTTCATTTGGATGTCGACGATAGAATTCTTTTATTGATTTTAGACGAGAATAAAATTCTGAAAATTCATTTGGGCCCGACAATGCTTGCACCTAAAATAAAAATAAGTACATACGATTAACAAGGATGAAATAACACGCAGGTATATTTCTATTATGCATTAAATAATACAACTTGATTACTAATTTCAATCTCTGTATACACAATTAACCTATAAAACTTACTTCCTCCTTTCGCTGGCCGTCCTTATCTTCGTATAATTCTTGCGAGTGCATGGTACTATCCATGTACTGATCTAATAACATTTTCAAACGATGTTCTGAATTGATATTTTCTCTATGACCCGGTTTCTTATGGAGCATTTCCTTCACCATTGCGTCCATCAGTCTTTCTCGCTCTTCGTGGTATCGGCGTTGTTGTTCCAATATTGTCTCCATGTTTTAAAAAATCAGGACCTTATACGGGATCACTTTTGCTTTTATAAACTGCGAGTTCAAGAATAGATAACCATTAAATTGGCAAATATTAGTCAACAACTTTCCAGAGGAAATAAAAGGCAGGGGGCTGACACTCGCATGCTATTCTTTGAGACTAGTGTTTGCAGCGGCCTCTGGATCAATAGTACCGGAAGTATGAACTAGCAAATTTCCCGCCATAAATATAAATTGAATGACATTCAGAAACTATTATTTAAGAAAAAATGATCTAATATTACTGTAAATTTCACAGTTAATAAGGTTAGGTAACTTATTAGCTGTAAGTCTCNGAAGGAAGGAAACGTTGAGACTTACCAACGGGACGATACGTCTTTTTCTGGCGGTACTCCCGCAGGAGATCCCACCCGAAGGAGACCTGGGGGTTTCTGGCCTCAGCTCCGTGTGCTCTGACCCGAAGTTAGCGCTGGCTGCAATTCACTTCTGCCTTCGCTGCTTCCGCTTCTTCTTTGTTTCTTGAACGATATTTAATCCATGGCACTCGCGGACCGTGATCACTGTCGCGTCCTAACCTCATTGTCTTCGCGTCGGTTCGGAAACTGCGCGTACATCTCACCTCGTCATCTTCGAAGCCTCTCTTGCACCTCGTTAAGATCTCTAAATGCCGTCGATTGAGATTTATTGCACCATGTTGACATAAATTTCGATCGTGATATGTAATACGTCCTTCGCGCCTCTCGCCATTTTCTTAATTTTTGGCGACATCTTATCGCGACGAATTTTTAGGAGCAACTGGCGATCCGCCGGCCGGGCCGCAATCCCCGACCGTGACCGACTCCGTGATTGGACGACGTCACCGGCCCGATAAAGGACCGTGATTGGTCGATCGATATTTCATAATTTCTCCAACAAAGAAAGGCCAAGCCCAGCACGCACTACGGCCCCAGGGTAGTGGAAGACTTGGCCAAAAACTGCTGAAAATCCTGAAACTTTCCCCTCGTCGAGGCGGCGACTCTAAATCGATCCGCAGACACATCGAAGTGCCACCTTGACTCGAGGTCGGCTCCTCGCGAGATATTTCTCCCACATCTTTTTTAAATTTTGTATTTAATCATTCGAAGAAATTCCGCGGAACCGGCGGCCTCGAAGTCGGAGGATCATCCGACTTCCCAGCGCTCGATTAAGGATCGCGATGGGAAAATTACCGCGGACCCGGGAGAAATCTATTCCTACTCTAAAAGAGCACATGAAAAACATGGAAAATCAACACGACCACTCGCGAGTCGGCGAGAGATCGTCTCATCGGCTCGCGGTCCCTCGAACAAACCGTAACATACAACCGATCCTCGGGCCGGTATGGACATTTCGTCCTGCGACATGAACGGATTGGAGGAAGGAAACGTTGAGACTTACCAACGGGACGATACGTCTTTTTCTGGCGGTACTCCCCCAGGACATCCCACCCGAAGGAGACCTGGGGGTTTCTGGCCTCGGCTCCGTCTGCTCTGGCCCGAAGTTGGCGCTGGCTGCATTTCACTTCTGCCTTCGCTGCTTCCGCTTCTTGTTTGTTTGTCGAACGATATTTAATCCATGGCACTTGCGGACCGTGATCACTATCGCGTCCTAACCTCATTGTCTTCGCGTCGGTTCGGAAACTGCGCGTACACACTACTCGTCATCTACGAAGCCTCTCTTGCACCTCGTTAAGATCTCTGAATGCCGTCGAATGAGAATTATTGCACCATGTTGATATAAATTTCGATCGTGATATGTAATACGTCCCTCACGCCCCCCGCCATATTCTTAATTTTTGACCACATCTTATCGCGGCGAATTTTTCAGGGGCAACTAGCGATCCGCTGGCCGGGCCGCAATCCCCGGCCGTGACCAACTCCGTAAGTGGACGACGTCGCCGGCCCGATAAAGGACCGTGATTGGTCGATCGATATTTCATAATTTCTCCAAGAAAGAAAGGCCAAGCCCAGCAAGCACTACGGCCCCAGGGTAGTGGAAGACTTGACCAAAAACAGCTGAAAATCCTGAAACTTTCCCCTCGTCGAGGCGGCAACTCTAGGACGCAGGCACATCGAAGTGCCCCCTCGTCTCGGGTGTGGCTCCTCGCGAGATCCTCCTCCCACGTCTTATTTAAATATCCGATGAAATTCCGTTGAACCGGCGGCCCCGAAGTCGCAGGGTCGTCCGACATCCCGGCATTCGATCAAGGATCGCGATCCGGAAAATTACCACGGACCCGGGAGAAATCTATTCCTACTCTAAAAGAGCACATGAAAAACATAGAAAGTCAACACGACCACTCGCGAGTCGGCGAGAGGTCGTCTCGTCGGATCGCGGTCCCTCGAACAAATCGTACCATACAACCGATCCCCGTGCAGGTACGGACCTTTCGTCCTGCGACATGAAGGGATCGGAGGAAGGAAACGTTGAGACTTACCAACGGGACGATACGTCTTTTTCTGGCGGTACTCCCCCAGGAGACCCCTCCGCAGAGACCTGGGGTTTCTGGCCTCCTCTTTATCTGCCTCGTTTCGACGTTGGCTCTGGCTGCATTCCGCCTTTGTGTCCGCTTCCACTGCTTTCACTGGATACGCTTGATACGCTGCATGCTTCTACTGCCTTCGTTGAATTCCTTTTCTTTCGCTGAACGATATTTAATCCATGGCACTCGCGATCCGTGATCACTGCCACGTCCTAACCTCATTGTCTTCGCGTCGGTTCGGAAACTGCGCGTACATCTCACCTCGTCATCTACGAAGCCTCTCTTGCACCTCGTTAAGATTTATGAATGCCGTCGAATGAGAGTTATTGCTACATGTTGTTATAAATTTCGATCGTGATATGTAATACGTCCCTCGCGCCCCCCGCAATATTCTTAATTTTTGACGTCATCTTATCGCGGCGAATTTTCAGGGGCAACTGGCGATCCGCCGGCCGGGCCGCAATCCCCGGCCGTGACCGACTCCGTGAGTGGACGACGTCACCGGCCCGATAAATGACCGTGATTGGTCGATCGATATTTCATAATTTCTCCAAGAAAGAAAGCCCAAGACCAGCACGCACTACGGCCGCAGGGTAGTGGAAGACTTGGTCAAAAACAGCTGAAAATCCTGAAACGTTCCCCTCGTCGAGACGGCGACTCTAAATCGATCCGCAGACACATCGAAGTGCCACCTCGACTCGAGGTCGGCTTCTCGCGAGATCCTCCTCCCAAGACTTTTTAAAATCCGAAGAAATATCGGGAAACCGTTGGCCCCAAAGTCGGAGGGTCGTCCGACTTCCCGGCGCATGATAAAGAAACCCGAAACGTAATCTACCGCGGACCCAGGAGAAATCTATTCCTACTCTAAAAGAGCACATGAAAAACATAGAAAATCAACACGACCACTCGCGAGTCGGCGAGAGGTCACATCCCGTCCACTCGCGATCCCTCAAACAAATCGTAACGTATAACCGATCCCCGTGGCGGTACGGACCTTTCGTCCAGCGACATAATGGGATCGGAGGTAGGAAACGTTGAGACTTACCAACGGGACGATACGTCTTTTTCTGGCGGTACTCCCCCAGGAGATCCCACCCGAAGGAGACCTGGGGGTTTCTGGCCTCGGCTCCGTTCGCTCTGGCCCGAAGTTGGCGCTGGCTATTTCATATCTTGATCCGCTTCCAATATTTTCTGTTGGAAATCCGTAATTGTAGCATTAGGCAACTCAATAAATTGTTCAATCTCAACATTTTTCTCCTTCGTTGTAGGACAGTCATCAAGATCTTTTGACTTTTTGGTTTGAAGCTCATTTGTTTGTACAGCCTAGTCCTGCATAAATCTTTCTAGGGGACATTTCGCATCAACCGTACTAAATAGAATCTGCAATTCATATTGAACCCGTGCATGAGTATTTTTAAATCCACTTGCCATTTATTTAGTTTTATGCGCTTTCTTTTATATCTCAAGTGCTGCCTGTTAAGGTTAAGTGAAACGTGAAAAACCTAACCTTAAATACCTTCCATACTTCATCTGTCGTTTTCGTACAATAATTATAAAGATATCGAAGTAAATCTCCAGGAATTCCCTTTATTCATGGTTTTTGAGGCCCTAATTGACTGCAGAGGGACCCCCTGCGCCATCTGTGATTTCCGTGTCAACTACGTTTTCACTCCGAAACTTCGTATTACCATCGTTTTAGCATAGATGCATATATGACACTTTTTTGCCTTTATCCCGTTCATATGCGAGTTTATCGATTACCAGAGTGTTCTAAATTGTTGTACAATTGTCCTGACCCTTTCGTTTCTCATATTAGTGCCTTCAATAATTGTATATTGATCGAAATATGAGAGTTCGACGCCATTTTGTTTCTGGTCTGAGCTATATTAAAAAATTTGTTTGAAAAGTCCAAATTTCGGAAGTGTCAGGACAATTTTTAGATGATCAGGAGTAATATGTGAAAGTTTCGGACAGTTTGGTCCAATACCCTTAAAAAGAAAGTGTTGTATTCGAGTCGACTGACTTGAGCGGGGTTTCGCTTCGCCTTAAAGCTTCACAAGTTATTGATTTTAAGTGCAAAACGTAATATTAAACCGTTCGAATGAATAGACAATAAAGATTCGATTTACGAAAAAAAAAAAA